ACAGGCTGGTGTGCTTCTTCCATGTGGGCTTTGTTGCTTCTGAGCTAGATGGCTGCTTGTTTACCTTCAAGTCTTTAAGACCCCAGACGCTATATCCTTTGATAGCCAGGCACCATCATCTTTCTTCACCACATTTGCTTGTGCACCTATTTGTCTTCAGCAATCACATCGAACTGAACCCTTTTATGAGCCTAAAATCTCCCAACAAGACTACAAACTGACCAATCCCTCAGTTAGCCATAATCATCTAATTTACATAGCAATGGACCAACCCAGGCAAGGATTTTATCACCTTGTTGGTGTAGTAAATTGTACAGCCCCTTCGCAAACATCTCAAGCAAGTCATCTTGGTAGAACTACAAAAGCCTGCACTAGAAAGTCCACATAAAAAGAAAGGCACAAAGATACCATTGTACTTCATCTGAATGCCTTGAGGAAAATTCTTATTTTTTTTGCTCCTGAAAATTATCACCACATTTATTTATGTCTCCCAAGAAAATGGCACCGCTGTATAAATTGTTCAAGGCCAAAGCCTAGGGTTGACCTGCTTAGCAAATTGGATTACATGATGCCCAGCTAAATTTTAATTTCAATTGATTGATTTCTTAGTATAAGTCCCAAAGGCTTATTAATTTAAAAAAAAGACCCATACTCTTCCTACCACTTCTTACATGCATTATACTATAAAAGACCTGTCATTCTACTTTTAAAAATATCTAGCGTTCATCTACATTTCTCCATTTCTTCTTCCATCATCTTTGCCTCAGCTACCACTGCAAGAATCTCCCAACCAGTCGCTTAGCTTCTATTTTTGTGGAAATAATAGTCTAGCAGCATAAACCAACACTAGAAAAAGAAATACTAACTTCAAGTTACCCTTTTTGGGGGGTCATTATTCGGTAGCAATCTGAAATTCCTAAATCAGCATCACAGGCGTCATGAGCTCACAACTTTGAAGCGGTGAGGAGCAGTTCTAGTAGGCATGGACATTTTACTGAGCTGTGTTTACTGTCACAAGGGTTGAATCAGGTAAGAATCTATGCAGGAATGGTAAATTTGGCTCAACAATACTGTCTTCGAATTTTCTTTTTTGTCTTTATGAATGAATTTTGTTAAGATGTATAAAGAGACTGCTTGGTTCTAGTCCATACTAGATTGTGAGGCAGATTTCTTTTATTCAAATCAATATCCTATGGTAGATCTATGCTTATCAGTGCAAGATTAAAAAGCTATGAGGCAAATTCTGAGCAGTCAGAAATTAGGAAACAAATGAATAAAAATGCACGCATGACAACTTCTTTTTTGCTTGCTCTTTGCTGGTATCATCAGACAACTCCTGATTGACTAATAAATTAAAGAGTACCAGAATTTGCAGGTTGAGTTGCCTCCCTCCACCAACCAGCCTCATCTAGGGCTTTAAATATGCAAAATTTTGTACACATCACTACCATCAAAACAACTGGCAAATCTAAAGACAACCCATTTCCTGTATAACAGATCATTACACAGCATCATTACAAATGGTCCTTAAATCATAGAAACGATGGCATTCAGGTGTTTCAAAGTTCTTATAAGGTAAATCTAAACATTAATCTCTTCAACACAAAATACCAATTACTTATTCTTCCATGGAATGAGTCTCACAAACACCATCAGAACCCCCCAAAACGCAAGTTACTTTAGTCATGGCCCAGTTATTATTTACTAAGCCAGTCTCGCTGTTGCTAAAACTTAACACCACTATCTAAACATTCTTAGAAAACAGATCTGTGCTGTCTGTATATACCATCGCCTTCTTCAGTTATGAGGAATGAACTTCAGACTGTGGATACCAGAGCAACATTGTAGAAGCATATGATAGTTTAGAAGATTTAACATTAACTTCTATAAAACAAGTGAGATGCTGCAAAATCACAAAAATAAAAAACATAGTTTGCCCTGTATTTACACATATTATTGGCTCTGTGGGTATCCACTGATCAGACAGCACCATGGAAAAACTCAATACTTTGCCTCGAAAACTGTGGCTCTCACAACCAAAACCAAAGTCAATGCCGTCGAACTGATGCTGACTCCCTGCGACCCTGTAAGGGAGGGTAGAACTGCCCAGTTGGCTTCTGAGACTGTAACTCTATGACAGTAGAAAGCCTCATCTTTCTCACGGAGGGCTGCTGGTTTCGAACGGCTGACCTTGCAATTTGCAGCTCAACAACGTATAATCGCAACCCCATTAGTAAGCACTTTGGGTTATCTGGAAAGCATCGATTTACACTTTAGAGAAATGTGAGCTTCTGTCCCAGAGACAACGTGCAATACCCAGGTGCCAACAAAAACGACTGTTCCTACTACAGGGCAGTTTCGGGTGCGACAGTCTTCAGTGCACAGACCAGGGCCCTGGCTGGGGTGGAACACATTTTGGGAGCGTGCTGGTTTTAATCATAGTAAGGCCCTTCGGGGATGGGGAGTGCTCCCACGGCCACAAGGAGAGGGAGCCCGTTGTCCATTCGCTTTACTTTTTAAAAGTCTGCAAAACAAAGAATGGTGATATGCAGCAGGAACAACGCCCCGCCCGGGGGGCAGCCGGCCCTGTCGGGAGGGGGGCGGGGAACACCCCTAGGGGGCAAGACCTGGGTGTTGTGCGCACCGGGGCGGCTGGCCGCGAATGGGGAGGCGGCGTCCGCCGGCAGCGGAGGCCGCCGAGCGAGCGAGCGAGGGGCGTCCCGGCCGCACGCGGCCCGTCGCGGCCTCTTCCGGAGAGA